GGAATGATGAAGTAAAGGGTGTGATAAAAGAGAAAAAGGTAGCTTATGAGAGGTTTTTACAAAGCAGAAGTGTTTTAAGAAGAGCAGAATATATGGAGAGTAAAAGAAAGGTAAAGAGAGTGGTGAGAGAGTGCAAAAGGAGAGCAGATGATAGAGTGGGAGAGGCACTGTCAAGAAATTTTAATGAAAATAAGAAAAAAAATTTTGGAGTGAGTTAAACAAGTTTAAAAAAGCCAAGGGAAAATATGGATTTGTCAGTTAAAAACAGAGTAGGGGAGTTAGTAGATGGGGAGATGGAGGTATTAGGTAGATGGCGAGAATATTTTGAGGAACTTTTAAATGTTAAGGAAGAAACAGAGGCAGTAATTTCATGCACTGGTCAGGGAGGTATACCATCTTTTAGGAGTGAAGAAGAGCAGAATGTAAGTGTGGGGAGGTACGTGAGGCATTACGTAAAATGAAAGGGGGTAAAGCAGCTGGTACTGATGGGATCATGACAGAAATGTTAAAAGCAGGGGGGGATATAGTGTTGGAGTGGTTGGTACTTTTGTTCAATAAATGTATGAAAGAGGGGAAGGTACCTAGGGATTGGCGGAGAGCATGTATAGTCCCTTTATATAAAGGGAAAGGGGACAAAAGAGACTGTAAAAATTATAGAGGAATAAGCTTACTGAGTATACCAGGAAAAGTGTACGGTAGGGTTATAATTGAAAGAATTAGAGGTAAGACAGAATGTAGGATTGCGGATGAGCAAGGAGGTTTCAGAGTGGGTAGGGGATGTGTAGATCAAGTGTTTACATTGAAGCATATATGTGAACAGTATTTAGATAAAGGTAGGGAAGTTTTTATTGCATTTATGGATTTAGAAAAGGCATATGATAGAGTGGGATGAGGAGCAATGTGGCAGATGTTGCAAGTATATGGAATAGGTGGTAAGTTATTAAATGCTGTAAAGAGTTTTTATGAAGATAGTGAGGCTCAGGTTAGGGTGTGTAGAAGAGAGGGAGACTATTTCCCGGTAAAAGTAGGTCTTAGACAGGGATGTGTAATGTCACCATGGTTGTTTAATATATTTATAGATGGGTTGTTAAGGAAGTAAATGCTAGGGTGTTTGGGAGAGGGGTGGGATTAAATTATGGGGAATCAAATTCAAAATGGGAATTGACACAGTTACTTTTTGCTGATGATACTGTGCTTATGGAGATTCTAAAGAAAAATTGCAAAGGTTAGTGGATGAGTTTGGGAATGTGTGTAAAGGTAGAAAGTTGAAAGTGAACATAGAAAAGAGTAAGGTGATGAGGGTGTCAAATGATTTAGATAAAGAAAAATTGGATATCAAATTGGGGAGGAGGAGTATGGAAGAAGTGAATGTTTTCAGATACTTGGGAGTTGACGTGTCGGCGGATGGATTTATGAAGGATGAGGTTAATCATAGAATTGATGAGGGAAAAAAGGTGAGTGGTGCGTTGAGGTATATGTGGAGTCAAAAAACGTTATCTATGGAGGCAAAGAAGGGAATGTATGAAAGTATAGTAGTACCAACACTCTTTATATGGGTGTGAAGCTTGGGTGGTAAATGCAGCAGCGAGGAGACGGTTGGAGGCAGTGGAGATGTCCTGTTAAGGGCAATGTGTGGTGTAAATATTATGCAGAAAATTCGGAGTGTGGAAATTAGGAGAAGGTGTGGAGTTAATAAAAGTATTAGTCAGAGGGCAGAAGAGGGGTTGTTGAGGTGGTTTGGTCATTTAGAGAGAATGGATCAAAGTAGAATGACATGGAAAGCATATAAATCTATAGGGGAAGGAAGGCGGGGTAGGGTCGTCCTCGAAAGGGTTGGAGAGAGGGGGTAAAGGAGGTTTTGTGGGTAAGGGGCTTGGACTTCCAGCAAGCGTGCGTGAGCGTGTTAGATAGGAGTGAATGGAGACGAATGGTACTTGGGACCTGACGATCTGTTGGAGTGTGAGCAGGGTAATATTTAGTGAAGGGATTCAGGGAAACCGGTTATTTTCATATAGTCGGACTTGAGTCCTGGAAATGGGAAGTACAATGCCTGCACTTTAAAGGAGGGGTTTGGGATATTGGCAGTTTGGAGGATATGTTGTGTATCTTTATATGTGTATGCTTCTAGACTGTTGTATTCTGAGCACCTCTGCAAAAACAGTGATAATGTGCGAGTGTGGTGAAAGTGTTGAATGATGATGAAAGTATTTTCTTTTTGGGGATTTTCTTTCTTTTTTGGGTCACCCTGCCTCGGTGGGAGACGGCCGACTTGTTGAAAAAAAAAAAAAAAAAAAAAAAAAAAAATAATATATATATATATATATATATATATATATTATATTATATATAGTATTGGTCTCTCAGGCCCCAAATGTTAGTAGGAAAAGAAAAAAATTTGAAAAGAAAAGAAAAAACTATAAAAAACGTTAAATAAATTAATGCACGTATGTGGAAATCGTCGATGTTGCCTCCACCACGTCATTTTGGGTCAACTTCTCGGCACTGTATCTCGGTAAGTGCTGATCAGAATTTTTTTTTTTGTCTTATTACCTTCACAAAAATATACTTTTTAATTCTGTAAGATTTTTTTTTTTTTTTTTTTTCTCAAAATTTCTTGGACACTGGAGCACCACTTCAGATTTTGGCCTTGGACCCTGAAGGGGTTAATATCTTTGATTTCGTTTTCTAGAGCGACGATGTAGTCCTTGATATTGTCAAGAATAGTCATACCTGAGTTATCATGGGTGAATCCTTTGAAGGGAGTGGAGTTGGAGAGGGAGTCAGCCATGTTTGTTGTTGTTGTTCCCTGGGTGGTAGTGAGGGGGGTTGATGATACACTGGTGTCCTGCTGGGTAGACAAGTTGAGTTGTAGGGTCCTTGGTGTTATTCTTTTCTTACTGCTGTTGATTCTTCTGCGATATCCTTTCATAGTATCACTAAAGTAGATACTGTGTAGCTATGGAGGAGAAGGCTTGATTTCCCTGAGCTTGGGTTAAGTGACTGTCTGGCAGCGGAGGCAGTGTTTGGGTTAGCAGGGCTGTCTTCCTTAGATCTTCTATTTTGTCAAGATTTGGGTTACATTCTTAGTATTCTTGGGTCATTTTGTGGTCTACGTGAGTTCATGTAGTTGTACCTTCAATTAGGCCATCACAAGCTTTGATGAGCGATGGTTTCTTGAAGAATAAGAGCTGGTAGGATGCCGCTGCGGCAGCAGCAGCATCCTACCTATTATTGTAATAATAATAATTGTAATAATAATAATAATTATTATTAATATAGGGCACTGGAGCACAGATTCAATGTTTAACACTTTGTCTGTATTTTTGAGTTATCCTAGGTAATTTATACTATATATGATAACTTTACTTACGTGTACCTGTGTGAGAGAGAGAGAGAGAGATACAGAGAGAGACAGCCACATTCAGTCTGCCAGTCAGCCAACCACCCACCGACCCACCCATGCCAGCCAGCCAGCTGGATACGTATTACACATGTTCCTGAGTTGTTTCTCTTTACTTTGGGTATAGGTTATACTACATTCTGTTAGGATGACACTACCAGTGGTATTCTCCCATTCCACTGTGTCGACAATACATAAAGATAACATTAGCATATGATACTGTATGCGATGTAAAATTTACAATACAGTTTACTACCATGTATGGTTTAGAAAGACACGTAAGCAAACACTATGACATATTTATTAGAAAACGTTTCGGTCCTGGGACCTTGATCAAGGTCCCAGGACCGAAACGTTTTCTAATAAATATGTCATAGTGTTTGCTTACGTGTCTTTCTAAACCAACTTGTCGGTATTTATTACCAAGGTTTATACCAGTACCATGTATACATTATATACAGTACATAAATAATTAAAATATAACAATAAAAGTAAATTATGGTAAAAAGAATGAAATAATGATTGTACATTACATTACAGTATTATATAGGTATTTTGTAGAGGAAACGTTTGACATTATGCCCTACCCAGTATGTCGGCAATTTTAAAAGGTTCGACTTATGTCCATTTTGACTTATGACCATTTTGACTTACGACCGGTTGGTCAGAACCAAGCTTGGTCGTAAGTCGGATGGTACCTGTAATTGTATAAATAGTATCAACACAGTGATGAACGCATATTAGACCCACCAGTTGACATGTATTGGATGCGTGACGTCATTTGTTTATTCTTGATCATCAGCATAAATCGAACATTTCCATTACTTTGAGCTCGGTTTCAAGCTATTTTCAATTGTATAACCAATTGAAATCATCTCTATTTCTGTAATGCATCTTCCATTCTGTTAAATGAGATCAAGAAACCGCAAATACAACTGTAAAAACCATACAAAAATACACCGCAAAGTCACTGTTTTAATCCAAAAACACAGTCACGGTTTTTTTTCTCATTATACACTGCGTGCTGCAGGATTTGTTTTATATGGTGCACAGTTATCACATTGATCCATTCTCTTGTATCTAGGCCCAGATTTACCTCTCACAGCTTACCTGAGTGAGCTGAGCTCATGGCATAGAACTATGGCTTAGACACAGGCTTCAAAGTCGTAAACCTGTAGGACTGACCCTCAAAGGGTTATAGATTAAGTTTAATGAATGTAGTATAGTTTAAGTAGCATTGTACTGTGGATATGATTAAATAAAATATTTTACAATAGTGATGTTAAGTCGGCTAAGAAGGAAGGGGATGCAGTGATGGACTCTTCATCTACTCTGATGGAATGTCAGTCCTGTTTCTTGGATCAGAACTGTTAAACCTCTGTTACCAGGGCACTGTATGACCTCTTTTGGGTTTAGCACTTCTCTGTTAATATGATACAGTAAGCTTTCTTACAAAACTATTCTGTGTAGTTTGATTTTTTGCAACTGCAATTGAAGGTTCATTCAAAATTTAATAGCACATACTGTGAAGGTCTTTTCATGTGCTGTTCAATTTTGGATGCACTTTTTCAGTTGCATTTACTAAAACATTGTTATATAGAGGAGGTTTATAAGAGAGCTTACTAATAAAGCAGAGCCCATCCAGTACAGTAAAGTAATTGATCAACAGATTAAGTATGGCGGAGATGGGTTGGACCCGACAGAACTGGAAGGCAACACTGGACCTATTGATCTAGACCGTGTGCTAGACCACATCCGTGCCAAGAACCCCTTCCCAGAGGAAGATCCTCTCACTGGTACTGAGATCCTCCAACTGGCAGAAAAATACCTGGCAGAGGATGCTTTTAAGGAGTTGTCAGATGAGTTTAAAGAGGAACTGAAGACCTTCATGGAGAAGTTCTCCAAGCGTGTTGATAAGGTAGATCACAGTAGTATATTTGTCATTGAATACTCTCCAAGGGATTTGGATGCCTTCATGTTAGTGAAAGGCTTTTGATCCAAGGATTTTAAGTTACCATTCTCTTTTATTGGATGAAATCTCATTACCTTCCATTTCACTGTATGTCCCCTGTGTTTTGATACTTCACCATGAATATAATTATAATAATAAGTTTTTTATTAACTCGCTGTACACAAATAACCCGCACATAGAAGAGAGGCACTTATGACGACATTTCAGTTCGACTTGGACCATTTACAAAGTCACAGTGTGACTGTAAATGGTCCATATCAGACTGAAACGTCGTCATAAGCTCTTCTCTTCTATGTGCGGGTTATTTGTGTATCGTTCCAGTCACGGTATTGTGCCATTTTTTTTGGTTATTTAACTCTCTGGTTGTATCCCACCAAGGCAGGGTGACCTAAAAAGAAAACTAAACTGTTTCTTTTTTTTTCACATAAATCTTCTTCTTTCAACAAACCGGCCATATCCCACCAAGGCGAGGTGGCCCAAGAGGAAAAATGAAAGTTTCTCCTTTTACATTTAGTAATATATGAAGGAGAAGGGGTTACTAGCCCCTTGCTCACAATAATAATACAGTGGAACCTCTACTTGCGAGTTTAATCCATTCCATGACCTTCCTTGCAACTGGATTTGCTTGTTTGCAGAGTCAATTTTCCTCATTTAAATGAATTGAAATGCAATTAACCCTTTGACTGTCGCAACCCCCAATCTTGAGGTGTCTGCTGGTGTCGCAAAATTTCCAAAAAAAAAAAATTATTTTTTCTTATGAAATGATAGAGAATCTTTTCCCGATTGTAATGACACCAAAAAAGCGAAATTTGATGGAAAACTGACGGAATTATGCTCTCGCGAAGTTAGCGACCTCGGCGATGTTTACAAATCGGCGATTTCGCCCACTTTGAGCCCTATTTTCGGCTAATTCTATTGTTCCAGTCGACCAAACTCATAGCTATTTCTTTAGAACTCCATTTTTTTTCTATCGATTGTGTACAAGAAACTGCCCATTTACCGATTTCAACTAACCAATAATGTGGTCAGAAATTTGCAATTTGGCCAATTTCACGAAAATTAAAAAATATGACAATTTCAAAATAAGCTCCAGAATGAACAATGCAGACATTCCTGGCTCTAAAATAACATTTTCTTTGTTCATCAGTCATGTCTCCAGGCCCCTCTGATATTACTCTTGCTTTCTATTTTGAATTTTTATTCAAACAAAAAATAGAAGACTTACTATTATGCAGACTACTGCAATACTGTAATAATTGTATAAATGGCATCAACCCATTCATGACTGCATATTAGAATGGCTAGTTGGACATTTATTGGACAATGACATCATTTGTTTACTTTTGAACATTGGCAAAAATCAAACATTTCCCTTACTTTGAGCTCCATTTCCAGGTTATTTTTATAGTAAAATCAATCAAAATCACCTCTATTTCTATAATATGTTTTCCATTCTATCAAATGAGACCAAGAAAAGGAGAATACAACCATAAAGACTATACGAAAATAGACCACAAAGTCGGCATTTTAATTAAAAAAAATGGTCGGAGTTTTTTTTTTCTCATTATGCACTGCGTGCTCCAGGATTTTTTTTATATGGTGCACACTGACCACACAGACCCATTCTCTCACATGTGGGCCTACCAGCTTTCTCCTGCTTGATTTGAAGCCGCTAGAATTTATGAGTATATATACGTCAAACACGGTACCTCGTAAGACGTATATATACAGCCGCGACAGTCAATGGGTTAATCCGTTCCCGGCTCTCAGGAGGCTAACAAAATACTTCAATATTTCACTAATATCATCTATACAGCTTATTTATCTATCATAGTTCATCTAATGTGACATAATAAACAATATTAATAACATAGAAACATGATATTTGCACTAGAATGAAGGAAATATTACATATGTGGGTAATGTTACTGGAGGCAGAGGCACAGTGGCCATTGATGTTGTGTATTATAGGGCCACCACGGCAGCCATTCCTCCTCCTGACATACCTTCCCATGCTTTTATTATAACAGAAAAACGGAGTGTTTGTGAGGCAAACTCCTTTATATTACTACGTACATAGTTTCATAAGAAAAACAATAATAAAATAATAATAATAAAATAATAAGGAAATAATAATACAGTGGAACCTCAAAAATCGAATGTATCACATATCGAATGTTTCGAAAATAAGACCATTTTTTTGGACAAACTGTGTCCCTATTATTGAACGCGCCCCTATTTTCGGACCGCCGGGTACGGGACCTGTCTGCCGCCCACTCTCTCTGCGTCCCTGCGCAGGCGCCGTGAGCAGTCTAGCTTTGTTTATGCTTGAGTGAACACTACCCTACGCTCTCATTAACGCATTTTACGATTATTTCGTTTTGTTTAGTGCTTGTGGGACTGTGAAATAAGCTGCCATGGGCCCAAAGAAACTTGCTAGTGGTACCCCTGTGGTAAAGAAAGTGAGAAACACCATAGATGTGAAGAAGGAAATAATACAGAAGTATGAGAGTGGTGTGAGACTTGTTGAGCTTGCGAGGATGTATGGGAAAAACAAGTCGACCATCGGTTCTATCCTGTCAAAGAAAGAACAAATCAAGGAAGCTGATGTTGCGAAAGGTGTTAATATAGGGAGTGGTTGAGGTGCCTTCTTCAAAGATTAAGGAGATTTGTGCCAAGTGGAATGATGTCCAAATGTTTGTGCAAAAGTACCACCCTGAGGAAGGTGAAACAAGCCATCTTTGCAAGAAGTTCAGTGACAGAACCATGTCCCATTTTAGGGAAATGTTAAAGAGGCATAACTGTGGACAGTTATTTTGTGAGACAGGGGTCCAGTGACTCTCAAGCTGGTCCTAGTGGCATTAAAAGACAGAGAAGGGAAGTAACCCCAGAGAGGGCTTTACCTGAAGTCCTCATGGAGGGGGATTCTCCTTCCAAACGCTAACCCCAACTCCCTCTCTCCTCCTCCCTATCTTCCAGATGCCATCACCAATCTTCAATAAAGGTAAGTAAAAATGTTATTTTATATGTATTACTATACATAATTAAAAACTATAGTATTTGCTGTATGTAAAACTGTAATTAATCTCTATAAAATGTATTTTTTTGTGTGAATATTTTTGGGTTTCTGGAACGAATTAATTGTATTTCTTATGGGAAATATTCCTTAATCCTGGAACGGATTAAGTTCAATTTTTGAGGTTCCACTGTGTGCTGTAGGATTTTTTTTTTATACTGCTCACACTGACCACATAGACCCATTCTTTCATATGTAGGCCTACCAGCTTTCTCTCACTAGATTTGAAGGCGCTAGAATTTAGGTGTACTAGTACGTCAAAAAAAAACCTGGTGTGTAAGCCGTACTAGTATGTCTGAAACCCTGAAAGGGTTAAATTATTCTTGGCTGGTGATGTACAGGTGACATACTGTTGTAATGACTCCTCATGTGCTCAGTGAATTAACCTAACAGCCAAGCAACATGACCATCCACTTGAGTTCTGCTTTAACCCTTTGACTGTCGCAACCCCCAATCCTATAGTGTCTCTCAGTGTTGCAAAATAATTTGAAAAAAAAAAAAAGATTTTTTCCTTTGAAATGACAGAGAATCTTTTCCTGATGCTAATGACACCAGCAGTACAAAATTTGATGGAAAACTTATGGAATTACGCTCTCATGAAGATAGCGATCTCGGAGATATTTACGCATTGGCAATTTTCCCTACTTTGAGCCCTATTCTCAGCCAATTCCATTGTTCCAGTCAACCAAACTCATAGCTATTTCTTTAGAACTCTGTTTGTTCTATCGTTTGAGTACAAGAAACCGCCCATTTCCCAATTTCAACTAGCCAATAGAGTGATCAGAAATTGGCAATTTGGCCAATTTCATGCAAATTAAAAAATATGCCAGTTTCAAAATAGGGTCCAGAATGAACAATGCAGACATTCCTGGCACTAAAATAACATTTTTCTCTGTTCATCAGTCATGTCTCCAGGCCCCTCTTATATTACTCTTGCTTTCTGTTTTGAATTTTTATTCACACAAAAAAGTAGATGTACTCTTTCACAGACTGCTGCATTATTGTAATAATTGTATAAATAATGTCAATCCATTTATGACTGCATATTAGAATGGCTAGTTGGACATTTATTGGACAATGATGTCATTTGTTTACTCTTGAACATTGGCAAAAATTGAACATTTCTGCTATTTTGAGCTCCATTTCAAGGTCCTTTTCACAGTGAAACCAATCAAAATCATCTCTATTTCTATAATATGTCTTTCATTCTTAATATGTCTTTCATTCATACCAACAAAACGAGAATACAAAAATAAATGCTTTACGAAAATACTCCTCAAATTCTGCGTTTTAATCCAAAAACACAGTTGGAGTTTTTTTTCTCATCATGCACTGCGTGCTGCAGGATTTTTTCATACTGTGCACACTGATCACACAGACCCATTCTCTCACATGTGGGAGGACCAACTTTCTCCCGGTTGAGTTGAAGCCACTAGAATTTTTGAGTATATATACGTCAGTCACATTGGCTCATAAGACGTATAAGTACGACTGCAACAGTCAAAGGGTTAAAGCTTTCTATTGGGTCACAGTTGTGGCCAACACAAACTTTACATATAAATCTAGAGAATTATTTTATGCTCTGGTCAGGTGTTTCATGCTGCAAACAACCCCGGGTTTTAATTTGGATCACTTCCTTGAATTATTTACATAGATTCATTATGAATATTCAGTATACATCCATGGGGAAGTGGAATAAGAATCTTTCCTCCGTAAGCCATGCTTCTTGTAAAAGTCAACTAAAATGCCGGGAACAATGGGCTAGTAACCCTTTTTCCTGTAATGATTACTAAAAAGAATAAGAAGAAAATTGTCAACGTGGGATGTCTGAATGTGCGTGCATGTTGTGCAAATGATCAGAAAGAGATGATTGTGGATGTTATGAATGAGAAGATGCTGGATGTCCTGGCATTCAGTGAAGCAAAGCTGTAGGGGGTGAGAGAGTTTCAGTGGAGAGAAATAGTTGGGATTAGGTCAGGGGTTTCAAATAGAGTTAGAGTTAAAGAAGGAGTAGCAATAATGTTGAAGGATAAGCTATGGCAGGAAAAGAGGGAGTATAAATGTATTAATTCAAGGATTATGTGGAGTAAAATAAAGGTTGGATGTGAAAAGTGGGTTATAGTAAGCGTATATGCACCTGGAGAAGAGAGAAGTGTAGAGGAGAGAGAGAAAGACTTTGGGAAATCTTGAGTGAATGCGTGGGGAGTTTTGAACCAAGTGTGAGAGTACTTGTGGTTGGGGATTTCAATGCTAAAGTGGGTAAAAATGTTGTGAAAGGAGTAGTAGGTAAATTTGGGGTGCCAGGGGTAAATGAAAATGGGGAGCCTTAATTGAGCTATGTGTAGAAAGAGGTTTGGTAATAAGTAATACATATTTTATGAAAATGAGGATAAATAAATATACAGGGTATGATATAGCACATAATGTAAGTAGTTTGTTAGATTATGTATTGGTGGATAAAAGGTTGATGGGTAGGCTCCTTGATGTACATGTTTATTGAGGGGCAACTGATATATCAGATCATTATTTAGTTGTAGTTGCAGTTAGAGCAAGAGGTAGATGGGACAAGAGGAAAATGACAACAACAATTAAGAGAGCGGTGAAAGTGTATAAACTAAGGGAGGAAGAAGTTCGGGTGAGATATAAGCAACTATTGGCAGAAAGGTGGTCTAGCGCAAGTATGAGTAGTGAGGGGAGGTTGAAGAGGGTTGGAATAGTTTTAAAAATGCAGTATTAGAATGTGGGGCAGAGGTTTGTGGTTATAGGAGGGTGGGTGCAGAAGGAAAGAGGAGTGATTGGTGGAATGATGAAGTAAAGGGTGTAATAAAAGAGAAAAAGGTAGCTTATGAGAGGTTTTTACAAAGCAGAAGTGTTATAAGATGAGCAGGGTATATGGAGAGTAAAAGAAAGGTGAAGAGAGTAGTGAGAGAGTGCAAAAGGAGAGCAGATGATAGAGTGGGAGAGTCACTGTCAAGAAATTTCAATGAAAATAAGAAAAAAATTTGGAGTGAGTTAAACAAGTTAAGAAAGCCTAGGGAAAGAATGGATTTGTCAGTTAAGAACAGAATAGGGGAGTTAGTAGATGGGGAGATGTTGGGTAGATGGCGGGAATATTTTGAGGAACTTTTAAATGTTGACGAAGAAAGGGAGGCGGTAATTTCATGCATTGGCCAGGGAGGTATACCATCTTTTAGGAATGAAGAGGAGCAGGATGTGAGTGTGGGGGAGGTACATGAGGCATTATGTAGAATGAAAGATGTTGAAACAGCTGGAACTGACAGGATCATTACAGAAATGTTAAAAGCAGGGGGGGGGGATATAGTGTTAGAGTGGTTGGTATTTTTGTTTAATGTATGAAAGAGGGGAAGGTACCTAGGGATTGGCAGAGAGCATGTATAGTTCCTTTATATATAGGGAAGCTGGACAAAAGAGATTGTAAATATTATAGAGGAATTAATTTACTGAGTATACCAGGAAAAGTGTACGGTAGGGTTATTATTGAAAAAATTAGAGGTAAGACAGAATGTAGGATTGCGGATGAGCAAGGAGGTTTGAGAGTGGGTAGGGGATGTGTAGATCAAGTGTTTACATTGAAGCATATATATGAACAGTATTTAGATGAAGGTAGGGAAATTTTTATTGCATTTATGGGTTTAGAAAAGGCATATGATAGAGTGGATAGGGGAGCAATGTGGCAGATGTTGCAAGTATATGGAATAGGTGGTAAGTTACTAAATGCTGTAAAGAGTTTTTATGAGGATAGTGAGCCTCAGGTTAGGGTGTGTAGAAGAGAGGGAGACTACTTCCCAGTAAAAGTAGGTCTTAGACAGGGATGTGTAATATCACCATGGTTGTTTAATATATTTATAGATGGGGTTGTAAAAGAAGTAAATGCCAGGGTGTTGAGGAGAGGGGTGGGATTAAATTATGGGGAATCAAATACAAAATGGGAATTAACACAGTTACTTTTTGCTGATGATACTGTACTTATGAGAGATTCTAAAGAAAAATTGCAAAGGTTAGTGGATGAGTTTGGGAGTTTGTAAAGGTAGAAAGTTGAAAGTGAACATAGAAAAGAGTAAGGTGATGAGGGTATCAAATTATTTAGATAAAGAAAAATTGGATATCAAATTGGGGAGGAGGAGTATGGAAGAAGTGAATGTTTTCAGATACTTGGGAGTTGACGTGTCAGCAGATGGATTTATGAAGGATGAGGTTAATCATAGAATTGATGAAGGAAAAAAGGTTAGTGGTGCATTGAGGTATATGTGGATACAAAAAAAACATTATCTGTGGAGGCAAAGAAGGTAATGTATGAAAGTATAGTGGTACCAACACTATTATATGGGTGTGAAGCTTGGGTTGTAAATGCTGCAGCGAGGAGATGGTTGGAGGCAGTGGAGATATCTTGTCTAAGGGCAATGTGTGGTGTAAATATTATGCAGAAAATTCTGAGTGTGGAAATTAGGAGAAGATGTAGAGTTAATGAAAGTATTAGTCAGAGGGCTGAAGAGGGGTTGTTGACATGGTTTGGTCATTTAGAGAAAATGGATCAAAGTAGAATGACTTGGAGAGTGTATTAATCTGTTGGGGAAGAAAGGCGGGGTGGGGGTCATCCTTGAGAAGGTTGGAGGGAGGGGGTAAAGGGGGTTTTGTGGGCTTGGACTTAAAGCAAGCATGCGTGAGCATGTTAGATAGGAGTGAATGGAGACGAATGGTTTTTGGGACCTGATGAGCTGTTGGAATGTGAGCAGGGTAATATTTAGTGAAGGGATTCAGGGATATAGCTGGACTTTAGTCCTGGAAATGGGAAGTACAATGCCTGCACTTTAAAGGAGTGGTTTGGGATATTGGCAGTTTAGAGGGATATGTTGTATATCTTTATATGTATATGCTTCGAAACTGCTGTATCTGAGCACCTCTGCAAAAACAGTGATTATGTGTGAGTTAGGTGAAAGTGTTGAATGATAATGAAAGTACTTTGTTTTTGGGGATTTTCTTTCTTTTTGGGTCACCCTGCCTTGGTGGGAGACTGCCGACTTGTTAAAAATAAAAATCCATGAACGCTTAAGGTGCATGCTAGATTTAATTTTCTTCTACACTTTCTCAGATTCGATCCCGCCTCTCCAAAGCTTCAGGTCGGAAAGCTCATCCAGTAGAGCGACACATAGAGCGCTTAACTTTTACCCAGTTGATTCATTTCCTTAACTCGTGTCTGGATCGGTATCAGGCAGCAGTAATGGAGCCGGGAACGGCTGTTGGTGCTCTTTGTGCTCAGAGTATTGGTGAGCCAGGTACACAGATGACACTCAAGACCTTCCATTTTGCTGGTGTAGCTGCCATGAACATCACTCTTGGTGTACCACGGTAAGTTTAAACTATTATTGTCTTTCTGTTTGTCTGCCTGCATGTCAATCTGTAATCTACATCTATCTTATCTGTTTACTTTGTTATCCATCTGTCTATCTATCTCCATGTTTATCCATCTATAATTACAAATATCAGAGATATCATATTATTGTTATACAATACCAACAAGTTGAACAGAACACATGTGCAACACTGAAGTCTCTTTATTCAATCAATCAAGTTTATTCTCTATAAGGATTACAATGCGGGGTTTTCCGATTTTGGTTATTTTGTGGTTTACATGTAATAAAATACTAACCATACCACGGGTGGGATTTGAACCCGCGGTCAGAGAGCCTCAAATCCCGTTCAAAATCCCGTTCAAATCCCGCCCGTGGTATGGTTTGTTTGCAATCGTGTCATTACGATTTCGTGAGTCAATAAAATACTAATTACAGAGGGGGCCACTAGGACACCTAGCATGGCTAGGCATTTCGGGCAAACTTAGATTAATTCTTAACCCTAAATTATTACAAATTATGGAGTAAGTTGACTAAATACTAAGTGACTAAATACTAGTTTGTGAGTTTAGCAATGTGGATGCTTTTGTTTTGGCACAATACATAGTTTCAATATTGGAGTATCACAGGCAAACTTATGACTAGTTAGGAATCATTATTTTAAGATTAAGATACGTATTTCTATGCTTATAGTCAAATGGGTGAGTGAGTGAATGTAAGTGTGAACCACCAGGTGGTTTTTATGTAGTTAGTTGACGAGGTGTATCAGGGAGATAAGATGTTTTCTAATGGTAGTTTTGAAGGTGATGAATGTGTCTGCAGTTCTAGAGTTTTCAGGTAGGGTATTCCAGATTTTAGGGCCTTTGACATACATTGAATTTTTGCAAAGGTTTACTCGGACACGGGGAATGTCGTAGAGATGTTTGTGTCTGGTGTTAAGCCTGTGGGTCCTGTCGCAACTATCAAGAAAGCGTTTTAGGTCAAGGTTAATATTGGAATTTGACCTCCTGTAGATGTAGATTGCACAGTAGTAAGTGTGGATGTTCTGAACAGGGAGTAAGTTTAGATCTATGAAGAGTGGGGGGGGGGTGTATTGCCAGGGATGGTATTTAGGGATTATTCTTACTGAGGTTTTTTGTTGGGTTATTATTGGCTTTAGGTGTGTTGCTGCTGTTGATCCCCAAGCACAAATAGCATAGGTGAGGTATGGATAAATGAGTGAATAGTATAGTGTGAGAAGGGCATTTTGCGGCACGTAGTATTGTATCTTGGAGAGGATCCCAACTGTTCTGGATACTTTTTTTGGTTATGTGTTGGATATGGGTGCTGAAATTAAGGTTGTTGTCGAGTTGTAGGCCTAGGAATTTGCTCTCATTATTTCTGGCAAATAGAGTGTTGTCGATCTTAACCCTTTCAGGGTCCAAGGCCCAAATCTGGAGTCACGCACCAGTGTCCAAGAATTTTCAAAAAAAAAATTTGTTATTTTTTCTTATGAAATCGTAGAGAATCTTTTTGTGAAGGTAATAAAACAAAAAGTACGAAATTTGGTGGAAAAATTGACGAAATTATGCTCTCGCGAATTTTGATGTGTCAGCGATATTTACGAATCGGCGATTTTGCCGACTTTGACTCCCATTTTAGGCCAATTACATTTTTCCCAATCAACCAAATTCTTAGCTATTTCACTAGTATTACTTCTATTCTATCGTTGAGCACAAGAAATCGCCAAGTCAACTGTTTCAACTACAAAAAAAAAGTGATCGGAAATTGTTAATTTGGCCAGTTTAACACAAAGTTCAAATATTCCAATTTCAAAATAGGGTTCGAATGAACAATGTAGGCTTCCTGGCACTAAACTAACATTTCCTCTGTTCATTATTTTATGTTTTGAGGCTTTACAAATAAATTCCATTTTGATTTTTTATTCAATAATGAATTTTTATTCACACAAAAAATAAAAGATTTACTGTTATGCAATACTGTAATAATTGTATAAATATCATCACCATATTTGTGAATGTATATTAGACCCACCAGCTGATGTGTATTAGAGTGTGGGGTGTTTGTTTACTCTTGAATATCGGCAAAAATTTAACATTTCTGCTACTTTGGCTAGTTTCAAGCCATTTCCCAGTGCAAAAACCCCCAAATCAAAATCATCTCTATTTCTGAAATATGTTTCCATTCTATCAAACGAGACCAAGAAATCGCAAATACAACTATAAAAAACATACGAAAAAACACTGCAAATTTGCTGTTTTAATCGAAAAATCATGATTTCATTTTTTTTCTCTCATTATGCACAGTGTGCTGCAGGATCTGTTTTATGTGGTGCACACATACCACATAGATGTATTCTCTCATATCTAGGCCCAAATGTACCACTCACAGTTTATCAGAGTGAGCTGAGCTCATGGCGTAGATCTACGGTTTGGACCCTGAACGTAAAGCCGTAGATTTATGGGACGGACCCTGAAAGGGTTACTGTTAAGTTGCGCAACACCTGCTCTGCTACCAAACATAATACAGTAGGTTTTGTCAGTGTTAAGTGTAAGTTTATTGGCTGTCATCCAAGTCGATATTTTGAGCAGCTCCTCATTAACAATGGTGTTGAGGGTGGCAAGATTAGGGTGAGAGATGACATAAGTCGTGTCTTCAGCAAAGACTTTCAGGGGTTGGGATACGTTTGGAAGATCATTGATGTAAATGAGGAAGAGCAGGGGTCCAAGGACACTTCCCTGCGGAACTCCAGTATCAAGTGGCCGTGTTGATGATGCTGTGTCTTTAATGGTGACATACTGATACCTATTAGTAAGGTAGGATTTGAAATATGTGAGCCTTTAATGGTGACATACTGATACCTATTAGTAAGGTAGGATTTGAAATATGCGAGCTCATGGCCTCTTATACCATAATGGTCAAGTTTGTGGAGTAGGATGCCGTGGTCTAATTTTGCAGGTGCAATCACGAAAAAGGCTGTGATAATATGAAATGTTCCGATTGTATGCTTTGAAGCGACCGCGGTGGCTGGCTTGTAAACACTGGCACCCACGGAACAAGTGAGGCGGGCTCAGGCCGCACGTGGACGCGTCTCGAACGAAACGCGTTGAACGAGTTTTTTAGCGCTAGCCGAGGCAAAATTTTTGCGTTAAAATGTATCGCTAGGCAGATTTAACGTTATGCGATACGTTTGTTAGGCGAGGTTCCACTGTATATATACATGTGTATACAGATCTCCCTTAACATTCGTGTTTTCAGCTTTCGCGGGCTTCACACATTCACGAATTCCCAACCCTCAAATTCCCAGCCTCCAAATTCCCAGCCTCCAAATTCCCAGCCGTCAAATCATATTTAAGTTTCCCGCCACCTGCGGGTCTCTCCCTCCAGCCCCTGCAACTGACAGCCAGCCCTCCCACCAGTGTGGTGAGTGTTTTGTTTGTTCATTATTTGCTATTAAACTACAGTGTAAATAATGTAAACCCATTCATGACTGCTTATTGGAATGGCTATTCGGACAGGTATTGGACGGTGACATCATGTGTTTACTCTTGAACACAGCAAAGAATCAAACATTTCTGCTACTGCTAATAGTAACAATAGTAATAATAATAATAATAATAATAATAATAATAATAATAATAATAATGATAATAAATGCGATAAAATTGAAGAAGGAAATTGTACAAAAATCGAGGGAGTTGTTGATACAATCGTCAGTGTGGCTTTGTTTATGCTGGAGTGAGCATTAGTCTCCTGCTCTTCAAGCATTTCACAATAATTCATTGTGTTTTGGGGCTTGTAGATTGAGTGTGATGGAGTGGTAGAGGCAGTGGTTGAGGAAGCGGTTGAGGCAGTGGGTGAAGGCAGCGGTTGAGACAGTGGTTGAGGCAGTGGGTGAGGCAGCGGTTTGAGGCAGAGGGTGAGGCAGGGGGTGAGGGGGGTTGAGGCAGGGGTTGGGCAGAGGGTAGGCAGGGGGTGGGGCGAGGTTGGGGCAGTGGTGGGGCAGCTTTTGAGGCAGGGGGGGGCAGGGGTAGAATTGGGTGGGGACAGTTGGGCAGTGGTAGAGGCAATTTGTGAGGCAGGGGTTTAAGGGCACGGGTAGGGGAGTGTTTGGGCGGGGTTGAGGAATGGTGAGGCAGCAGTTTTTGGGGCGTGGTATTTAATAACATGTTAAAATAAAAATTCTTTTTTAACTGTTTTTATTAATAAATGTATGTTTTAAAATTTACCATGCCAAAAACCACTCCCTAAACCCCTGTTTTGCCACCACTGCCTCAACTGCCCCTCACCCCCCAAAAATGTCCCTCCCCCTCCCAACCGCTGCTCACCCCTCCCTAAAATGCTGCCTCCCACTGCCCACCCACGGGGCCCACCCACTGCTAAACTTCTCCCTCCCCACTCCCTAACCACTCCCTAAAACCACTCCCTCCCCCACCCCTAAACCCATTTCCCTAACCACTCCCTCTACCCCCCTCGCATTTAATTCAAGCCCCAAAACAAAAGGGAATTATTGTGAAATTTTTGGGAAGAGCACGGGACTAATGCTCACCCAGCATACAAACCCACATGTGATGGCAACCATCCCTCTATTTTTGTACAATTTCCTTCTTCAATTTCTATGTATTTTTATTATTACTATTGTTTTTTAGCTAGAAAAAGGTTTGATTTTTTGCTGTGTTAAAGAGTAAAACACATGATGTCCCCGTCCAATACCTGTCCAATACCATTCCAATATGCGTCATGAATGGGTTTACTTATTTTACTGAGTTTAATAGAATAATGAACAAACAAAACACTCCCCACATGGGGGAGGGCTGGCTGCCCGTTGCGGGGGCGGAGGGAGGGTAGTAGGGCTCGCAGTAGTTAGGAAAATGGTGGAGGCAGTGGCATTTAATAACATACTGTTATTAAACCCTAACATTATGTATTTAGTAAGTTTTCAACGTTTTCATTTTTTTGTTTTTTCATGGTTTAACAATTAAGGGGAGATTGTATTTTATTTTCCCTACAATATTTT